TAATAATAATAATAATAATAATAATAATAATAATAATAATAATAATAATAATAATAATAATAATAATAATAATAATAATAATAAACCTATCCATAATCTCTCTATATCCACAAAGGCAACAAAATGTAAAGCTACAAACAGCAGGTGCAGAGGTATCGAATGATTATGGTAAACTAATACATCAGGGCTATTCAACTAAATCGCTCCAGGGGCGACAGTGGGCTGGATGGAAATCATCTGCGGGCCACCAGTTGATTAGCCCTGTCATACGCTGAGCTCTTCAGCCTTCCTTGTTACAAGATTTTAATYCCAACAACCTTCTTTGAGTAATGAAACTATCCTGAATATTTAGAGCATAATTTTAAATAGAAAGGCCATAGTGCKGGTGTGAGATCAAACAGGAAGCTGAGAGGTTTAAGCTGGATGTAGTTGAAATCTGACACAGCACTTGGGTTGATGAACCCATCTCCTAAAGAGGGTCTGGGCATTATTGCACTCTTAAGACTGTTAATAATGTGTGAAACAAGACGTAAGAGTTAGTTTATTCTCAACCTCCTCTCTTAGTGCTGGATTTTCCCAGGTGGAAGAAAAAGGCAGCTTTCTTTCATCTTCAGTTTAGGGAACTGGCTTTTTTTGCACGTGAGCACACATGTGGAGCAGTGGGCTGCCAATTATAGCGCCCAGGGAGCAGCTGGGGGTGGGGGGGTTAAGGGCCTTGCTCAAGGGCCCAAAGTGGGGCTGATTGGTCTGCAGAGAGTTGAACCAGTGACCTTCTGATCACAGAKTCTGCTTCTCTACCCTCTGCGCCACCACCCCATCACCTTTGTTTTCATTTATGATCCTAATGTCAGCTTGGAACAAGAGGACCAACAAGATCTCCCAATCTGAAGCAATACTAACACGGTCAGTGCACCCAAGTGTTTAAAATGGATATACTGGAAGCTTCTGCCAAAAGCCCCAGTCCAGCAGATCTTCATCTTCCACCTCTGGCAGGGCTGGGGACATAGAATCCACAGGGACTATGTTTAAAACCTCCATTGCTGCTATAAATATAGGGAATTGGATATATGTACTGTAATGAAGCCAAAGTCAGTGATTTTCTGGGAGACCATCCAATCACAGCAGTGATAGGGAAGCAGAGTTGCTTAGAAGGTTTGCTGTTGTTGCACTATGTTTCTGAGGATATGTCCCAAAACAATGTGCTTCCTGGCAAGAGGGCACAAAATGAGTTTAGATGGTAAAAATACTTTGGATTTATAAATAACAGGACTTTTATCAGAATTTTGAAACCCTGGACCAATTCTTTACCCTTGACTAGATACTTGGAGGGTGCATGGCAGTTTACTTTGTGCATTTTACGGACTTTGAAGGCTCTTCCAATAGTCTTCCTTGTGAAGTCTTGTTGTATGTGTTTCAAAGATCCACAGTACCAAGACCTTTGATATAGCCAATTCATTTTCTGTATAAAGGATGTGGAAGCTTGCTTTGTATGACTCTCAGCACCTAGATTCATTTACGGTAGGTCTTTATCACAAACATTGTTCATTTATGTCAAGTTCGAAACTTTTCTAGACACATCCAAAGTGTGAAAATGTCTGTTTAGGGTTAGTTTTAAATAGCATGTTCAGGTTTTTACATGATTTGATCATATTTGCACTCAAAAGCAGAGAARCTTTCCTATATTAGACTGGTTGTTGTCAAATCGAACCGATGAAGCTGATACCATGATCCTCATTTGGAATAGGGACGACTGAACTCTATAGCACAGGAACAAATTATTGTCTCAAATGGAAAAGTAGTGACCAAAAGGTAAGATCGCAAATTCAACCAAAACGAGATTTCTAAAAAAAAGGGCAGCTATTCTCACCCTTAGGAATAGAGTGAAGAGTTCAGTCATTTGAAAAGATCCTAAATCACTGCTTCTTCATATTGAGAAAAGCCAGCTGAATTTGTTAGGATCTCTAGAAAGAGTGTTTCCAAGATGCCTTCCAAGTAATGTGTTTTGGACATCTCACACAAGAAGGAGGCTCTCTATACCACGACTTGCTTGGAGAACTAACAGAGGCTAGGGTCTGGGGATCTCTACTATTTCCCTTACAACCTTGTAACAGATAAATGGTAGCAGATGGATAAATGTGTATCTAGGGTCTGCTTTGAGCCTAAATGCTTTTCTTCAGAAAAACTGAATCTGCTGTTCAAGGCACTCTCGTAGGTAATTTTGCACCTAAAAGTTTAAGTTCAAGTCCGTTCAAATCTCTTAAAGATATTCTGAGCGCTTGTGCTGGAAGTATTTCATTGATAAAGAATGAAGCCTATCTATTGTCTGAGCTGAGAAAGCAGAGTAAAGCAACAGGTCCTACTGACCAGGAGGTCAATTCTTCACAGTGATGGCGTGATGGTTGCTAAACATGTTGCATTAAGACCCACAGCTGCATACTAACCTACGAATTATCCAGTGTTGACTGTACAAACYCAAAGAGCTATATACAGACTAACAAGAATTCATATATATACATGTWGCAGCCTAAACAAGATGAACAACAAAATACATGAACTATTTATATTAGTACAAAATGAATGAATAGTACATTATGTACATTAAGGGAGTTGTAATGTACATCCATATATAATGACAAAATTCTGTWCCTTCAGCACTGATTAGGCTAATTAAACATATTTAACAGACCTCTTTTCATCAGCTTGCATTCAGTTATTTCCTATAATGTGAGCATGAAGTATGTGAACTCAAATGAAACAGAAACCATAAAACTCAAGAATGGAGATGGGTATATACACTGGTCACACACATGCTGGTTTAATTTATACACTCTATGCACATAATATAAACAAGAGCTACTGTAATATAACTATTTGGTAATGGATTTGGAAGACCCATTGCTACCCAGATTAGAGAGTCTTTGCTTTGGGGTCTGTCAGCTGATGTGGCGGTGCTGAAATGGGACTAGACTGAGTGGAGGGCCCAGCAGGAAAGGCAAAGACTCTTGAGGGAACGGGAGAGAAATAACCAGGCCACTGGTTAAAAGATAGAGGGGATGGCAAGGCTCTGAACGGGGCAGGAGAGTGTGGCTGATAGGCGTGATGGGGCCCTGAGGAGGGGCTGGTCATCACTGCTGACCCAGGGCTATCAGGCCACGACAGAGGCAAGGTGCAGGCTGCTYGGCCTTGGGTTGTCCATGATGATGCCTGAAAAAAAAAATTGGCATAATGTCAGAAACAGAGCTAAACAGGATATTGCTGTAGCATTTTTATCGAACACATGAGYAAACTCACTTCTGAAGCACTAGCAGGCAGCTCGTGTGTCAGCAGTCCAACTTGATCCCATTGCTGCTGTCCATAGATACTCAGAGAAGCGGTGCGTGGCCTGTGGGTGACGATCAGGACCTCCTGAGCCCAGTCATCCATCAGTCCCTGCAAGTCTTCGGGCATGTTATTTACAGTAGCATTCATGGATGTGCCTTTTTTGTTGTTGCTATTATTAGCCTGAGCTTGGGCAAGGCCAATAACAGGCTGATGAGGAGGAGGAGGTGTAACAACACCGGGCATTTGRTGTGACTGATTGAAAGCTCCAGACGCTGCAGCTCCAAATCCTGAGAATACACACACATTAAATTATAATGAGTGGTGGGGTTAATAMATACTTTGATTTGATGAATAAATAAATATATTTGATATGAGACATAATTTTACATACTGCTGCCTCGCTCTTTACCAAGACACAGTCTTTTCAGTGTGGACCCTACAAGATAAAAAATGAATAAGTACAATTTTCGGTCTTATTGCCAGGCAGTGCAATTCAAGAGTGAARGTTGTCCAAAATAGAGCTGCTGAATACGGCCACAAAAAAAAGAAACAAACAAAAAAAAGGCCAAGTACAAAATTATTAATGAGACCAAAACACGACAACAAAGAGKTAAAAATATCATGCAAGTGAGAACCGCATTAGTTTTAGAAAACATGAACAGGAAACAGCAGAGCAAGTGGAAACAAACAAAATTTGTAGTCAGCTGTAAAACATTCCTCATGCACAGGCCTAATTAAGTATTGCAAGGTGCATGAAACATTACAACATAAAAATATGTTTAAAGTAAATTTACAAAATTAAATATATTACAAAAAAGGTCATCTAATTTGTACTAAACTGAATGTTGAACATCTGAAACTGCAGAGATGTTAATGCCAGAAAGTGATAACTCTTTAATTGTGCTAAGACATATTGGGTTTGAGGAAAAAAGAAAGCCAACTAATCTATCATATTTGGAAAATGTTTTTGAGACAATCCTAAAATTGAAAAAAACATCCACTCAATAAAAACCTTGAGGTGTTTGAAAAAAAACAAGTGTCTGTGAAGCAAATAACACAGSACAACAAACGATTTAAACACTGCAAAGTAAAATAAAATCCAGCACTGCTGCTAAATATTTTGGCTAAAAAAAGTTTGTGAGATGAAAAATAAGGCCAACTGAAAAAAAYTGAAGCTATAGAGGAAGAGAAGGGATACAAACAGATAGACAAAGACACAGGCCCGCTGAGAAATCTAGCTCGTGGTTTGCTACTGGATTTATTGGTCACTCTTTCAGATGGTTGAGGGTAATTAGACCAGCCTGTAGAGGAGCATATTGAAGGAAAAAAGATGAAACGATAAAATGAGCAGGAAATCTATCTCCCAAAATCAATATATATTTATATTTTTTTCATATTTGTTTGTTTTTTTGTCTGTTGTCAGAAACAAAGAGTTGCTGTTATTCTCACCATGACCAGGTGGAGGCTGTGTGCCRACGCCGTCTCTGTGTAGTCCAGCATAAATATTATCAGAGGACAGAGATCCTTTGAGGGAACAGGGCTGCTGCGTTTGCACAGGTTCAGAGGTCGAGGTGTGCAGGTGGCTGGTGCARGACCGTGGCCTGCTGTGGGCAGGGAAAGACGTTTTGCCCGGAGAGCCGTTTAAACTGACGTTGGGCTCCGCTGTAGRGACAGCTGCAGCAGCAGTGCCTGAGCACACAGAGAAGCATGAGGAGGAGACGAGTCTTTGTTGKAATATTGACCTGCTTGAAGTTTAGAAAAAGAAACTTACTGGATTTGCTGGAGTCACCGGCTTTGGTTTTGACATTTCTAAACTGCTGAACCAGAGGGCTGAGGAGTTTCCCTGGCTTCAGCCTGTGCCTGCTGGACCTCTTTCTACGGCTTCCGTGTGGCGCGACGTGCAASAGACCGAGACCAGGAGGAGGAGCTTTACCAAGTCTTCGATACAGCAGCTCCACCTCTCCTCGCTGATGTGCTTGGAGCTCCGAGATCTCTCTCAGATGCCTGCAGGGTTGAAGGCAGGAAAATAAAAACTACTTGCAGGATAAAATAAAATTTATTTCACTACAACGGCATAAAAAAAATAAAAACCTTACTTCTCTCTCAGCCTCTGAAGTTCCTTTTTAATGTCAGAGTCCTCCATCTCTGAGTCGTTATCACTGCTGGCGTAGGCGGAGCCGGGCACACCTCCATGCCTACCTGGTGAGTCAGAGCTCTGCACACTGCTGCTGCGACCGGTGCGCCGGAGAAAGGCCACTGCCCTCTTCATGAGGTCACTCCCTCTGCGCTCAGAGCGAGGGTGATGAGATAAAGTAGCCGGGGTCGGCTTCACGGGGCTGCTCTCGGCCCCAGAGTCTGAGGACAGGAAGCGAGCATGGACCGTGACATCCACAGGGACAGAGTCCGAGGTGTGAGCYCGAGGCAGCGACCCCCTCTTACCCATGGACGGAGGCGTGTCCAGGTAGAAATCAGGTGGGGCAGAGTAGCGGCTGCAGCGTGTCCTCTGTGTGATGTCGTCCTCGGTGCTCACCACAGAGAAGCGGCCGATTGTGGTGGAGGTGGCCAAGGTCTCAGCCTGGACCTGGTCCCTGATGTATCCGACGGGGTGTGCAGGGGAGGCTGCGCTGCTCCAGCTCCTCTGCTTCACGTCCCGTCTGTTGGCCACTTCAGGAGGAACAGAGATGATCTGAGAAAAAAGAGACAAGAGGCTGAGATTCATAAAACAGTTATCACAAACATTTCTATAATAGCAAAGATTTGTTTTATTCCATGTTGCTCCAAAATGAAAAAATACGAAAAAAAAACCCACATTTGATATATTTTCTGAAAATAAAAACTTCACATATTTTATAAGTAGGCTACAAATAATGTCATAAAATATATTACATAGAAAAGCAGTTGCAGTGGTGGGCAGCACTTCTAAAGCACTAACACTCTGGAAATTTTAGCAAAAGCTAATTCTAAAGAACTAAAATAACCCAGTCAAACCATGAGCATTCTTCAGCAGACAACGTGAGTCACATGTTGCCATGTTGCTCTCTCTTTTTTTTCTTTTTTTATTATTGATTTTATGTGTACAGCACTTTGGTCCTGTGGGTGTTTAAAGTGCTCTATAAATAAAGATGGTATGGTATGGTATGGTATGGTATGGTATGGTATGGTATGGTATGGTATGGTATGGTATGGTATGGTATGGTATGGTATGGTATGGTAAGACTTATCAGTATTCCACAACTTATTTGGGTTCATACATTGTCACCTGGTAGATAAGTGACACACATGAACAAAATGTGCGACAGRTTTCACCATCAGCTGTTAACATTAATGTTGATCAATAAACATTTATAGACCTCAGTTAATGCTTCTAAATTTAGCCTATAAATTTAGCAAGTGGTAAACCACTAATAAATTTTAAAATTAGCAAAAGCCCTAAAGCACTAATCAGGAAATTAGTTCCCCTATTAGTGCTTTAGTGCTTTAGAACTGTGCCCACCACTGAGCGGTTGAAATATTTTTTTAATTTTACAAATGAAATCTGACGAACACCACGTAAATGTCATTAAACGTGTAAAAACACAGTTTCCTACRTTAAATCGACCTCTCGTTCCAGTGCAGGACACAGATTGAGGGATGTGTCGTCTTGAAAAAGAAGCTGCAGAAAAATTTCCATAACATTTAACTATCATGTTAATTTTGTTTTTAAAATAATGCTTTATCAGAGCCAACTATCTATTAGATGCAATAATAATTGTCATACCACACACGGCTGAGTCACTCAGTGTGCTCAAACTGTCCATTCTCTCAGGAATTTGAGGCTTATTGAGAGGGCAGGAGGAGAGAGAAACAAAAGAGAGAAGAAAAGTAGAAACCATTCATCACTGTAGCATTATTTCAGATTCATTATTGCAGTTTAGCACTCTTCTTCTTTTAAATATTTTTAAATGAATATATTCAAAGCACAGTTAATGTTACTTTAAATACATTTGAATACTAAACTAAACATTTCCAGTCTGTATTTTTTTTTGTATCTACCAACTGTTCTCCTGCCCTGTAGCGTCCCTCCCCGATWGGCCCTGGGGTGCTGTTCCCTGACCCTCCAGCAGCGCTGTCAGGACCAGGGGGAAACTGAATGTACTCTGTGCCAGATCCTGGTGTCTCTGCAGCACTGCCCGATGGATACATCGGRGCGTACTCCTGGTAAAGTAAATTCCTCAGTTTTTCATCCAAAGTTTTAATGGTGCTGTCGACAAACCCTCCACGGCCCAGCCGCCCTTCYCCATCAGACTCAGAGGGTCCTCCGCCGTGTTGGGATGGTGCTGGACTTTGGGGTAGAGAGGACACTTTGGTGCCTCCCACAGCTGAAAAAGGCTGATGGAACACCACCGGCTGCTGCGGCAGGTCGGGGCGCGCTGTRGAGGCGTAGGAGACAGACGATGACTCTTTGGTTGAACTGAGCTCCTGGAGGGGGAGAGGGGTGAGGGGGGACCCACCCTGTGAAGCGCCCACATCCAGCGATAGAGGCATGACGAGAGGACAGCAGGGCACCTCGTCTGCAATCGAAAGTGGACGCGTCAATTCGAGCTTCGGCTGAGCTGCGTGGGTAGGAGAGACGGAGCCCCGGGGAACGTTCTGCGACTCTTCCACTGGGAAAAACGTATGAGGTAAAGACGGGGGCAACGTCTGCGCTCTGGCTGGTTTGACTTGATGAACGYCGGACTGGAGAGAGCTGACAGCCGGTTCCAGCGAAGAAGCTGACTGGAGAGTCGGGGGTGCAGACACGGGAGGCGACAGCGCAGRCAAAAGAAGCGGGTCTGTGTTCGACGTTATTGGGGGACTAGAGAATCCATAAACATCAAAGTGGAACCCTCCACTTCCACCTGACACTGTGGAAGATGACCCCTCTTCTACAGAAAGAAGAAAGAACAAGATGAGTAAGAGATTTCACATAATTAGTTTCTAAAGCTCATAAATGTTAACCACAAAGACCTAAAGAATGTCATTCAGCTGCCATAAGTTATTGTTCCATGTTTCTGCCAGACATTATACTGACGTTGGTGTGTAGGAACACAGTGACCTCTGGAGGTGGAAGGCCTTGCAGTGATGCTTTCAGCAGGCTGGGACGTGGCTGAGCTCCCAAGTGATTGRGTAGCTGTTCCTTCAGAAGGTGTGTCCTGAGTGGACATGGGGGTTTCCTCCACCGGGCAGATTATAAACCATCGCTTTCCAGTGTGAAGGACTGTAACCCAGGAGTTCAGACAGAAAATACAAAATCRGTTTAAATCCAGAGTTGTAAKGTAACTAAGTACAAATACTTTGTTACTGTACTTAAGTAGAYTTTTGGGGTATCTGTACTTTACTTGAGTAATTATTTTTCAGCCTYCTTTTTACTACTACTACTTACATTTTCACACAATTATCTGTACTTTCTACTCCTTACATTTTTAAAAAAGGCAACAAGTAGAAAGTCGTTACTTTTATTTCATTTTTGCTTGTTTTCATTTCAGCTTGTTATTGTAAAAAATAAATACTATCCATACAAATTGTGCCTCCTTGTTAGAGTGCATTTAATTATGGTTGAATGAGAAATATAAATATATAAAATTCTGATACTGTATTAGTTTGTACACAAACAAATCATGTCACATTACAAAAGGGCATAATCATTAAAATAAAAGGACTGTACTTAATAAGTATTTGTATTTCATGAATTATGTTATTGCATTTGGCCACAACCCTCAGATAGATTTGTATTTTGGAGAAAATATTTGGGCAGCCAATAAACTGAAACAGCTATTATAAGTGCAACAGTGCATCCTAAATTTAACATAAATTAATTATTTTAATATGACAGTACATTTTTGGGGGGAAGTCACCTCCTAATAAATGTCATTATGGAAAATTTAACTGCTCATTTAAAATCAGTAATTTTACTTTTAATAATTAAGTACAAAAAATATCAGATACTTTAAGACTTTTACTCAAGTAATATTCCTAAAGGAGACTTTAACTTTTACCAAAGTAATATTTTGGTAAGATACTTGAACTTTTACTCAAGTATCACTTTGTGGTACTTTATACAACACTGTTTAAATCCATAAACATGGTTACAGTTTTTAAACAAATCCGTAAGTCCTGTTACCATTTTGCTGATACACAGGCTGAGGTGCTCCTGGCTGCTGACTCTGTAAGAGATGTTCACATGTAAGCTTTGTCCTTTGCATTTTTAGCATTTGCAGTGTGTTATTACAGATATCCAACACTTACGTACCTCTCCTACCTCAGACATCTGGTCCTGCAGTGGACTACAGCTCAACGCTGTGTCTTTTTCATTGTCCATGTCTTCATTCAACACGTCTTCAGCCTTATCCACAATGTCCTTCAGCTGATCAATGAAGATCTCCTTTTCCAACGGAAGGATAAAACCATTCTCCACCTGTAAACGTTACYTTTTAAAGAGCTTTCTCAGAATCAAAATCAGAATCAGAATACTTTATTGATCCCCGGGGGGAAATTTCAATTATTACAGTAGCAACCGTTGAAGTAAGCATTAGAGATAAAATATAAAAGAAAAATATTAGAGCACACAAGGAAGTAAATATAATATTAAGGAAATCTAAAGGAAAAATAAAATTAGAGCACACAAGGAAGAGATAAGTATAAACACTATGGGGAACTAAATGAACACAGAGAACAGTAAGCATACTTTGGCATCTATACAGTGTAAATTGAAAATAAAAACAGTGCTAAAGATAAAAACAGTGTAGCTGATGCAGAGGTCCCATCAGATATCATTAGATGATATAAGAATAGGTGATGATAGTGATATTGCACATGTTAGATTAAGGTGTCGTAGATAATCTAATGTGCAATATCTCTATTATCACTTATCAATGTCACAAACAAAGGCAAAAGCTGRAAACTTAAACAAGCTGGACATACCATGTATGTGGCGATTTCCTCCGGAGCATCTCCYTCCAGATCAAACTTAAACGTCACCATTTTGTGGTTGTGAGTCTCCAGCTGGCATTCGACCATTTTATCACCAGTGTTACAAACCTGGGTAAAGAGGGGTTAATAATTTACATTAACTGACATTTAAGAATTTTAAAGGTATGAGATTTTTTTTGTTGTTGTTGCTGTAAATTACACGATAACTCACATTGAGCATGCTCAGTTTGGGCTTGCTGGTCTTTTCTTGCCTGGAACGTGTGCGGGCAGACTTACGGTGGTGTTTTCTGGGTTTTACATCCCKCTTGCTCCCACCAGCCAAGCTTTCATAGCCGTCACTTGTTTCTCTACCTGATGCTATATCAGAGTTGAGACTAAAGAGAACAAAAGAGACATCTCATTTCAAAACAGCATTTAAAAAAATTATATTTGTAAAGAGCTGAAAGTTAGTGTGAATCTAAAACACACCTGTCATAGGCGTAACTGGAAAGTGATAACGTTTTATCACGAAGCAAGTCCTAAGAAAAAAAAAAGTTGGTAAAAAGACAGAGGACCCATTCCCAATATGAGTTCTGTTTGCTTTGCTGCTATGTTTTTAACTTTTACTCTGCTGTTCTGTGCTTCTTATAAAACACTGCACAACTTGTATAATGTTAAAAATAATTGGTTTAAACTATYTAAGGATCTACTTTGTGCACATAGCAAACTGATTATTGACTCAGTGAAAGAATCATTGTGAGTCTATTAGGAATAGGCTGTTAAAAATGTATTTGAAAATCAATCAGATGTCTTCAAATCAAAAGTGACTTTATATTGAACTCTTTAAAAATCTTACACGTATCAGAATTCATCTTAAAATTGTACAAATGTTTTTATACCTCCATACTGGGCTCTTGTTGAAGGCTTCCAGAGATAGATGCTGTTTCTGTATTTTGCTGAGTTGTAGTCAGGCTGGCACACTCAGGCACTGAGGCTGTTGTCTGGATGCCAGCAGGATGCAGAACTGAAGCTGCAACAGGAGCTGCAGGCTGCATTGATGCTGGCAGAGGGACTGAAACTGGGTCTGGAACCAAACCATGGGTGGGGATTTGAAYTTTATCCATYGCAAAGGGTGAACCAGAGTTTYTTGAAGAGACTGCTGTTAGCTCTGCAGTAAAAGCCGATGTAGATAACGGTGCTTGAACTTGGGCGGAGGGAATAGATTCCAGTGTTGGTGGAACATGTGTTGACACTGAAATTGGGGCTTTAACGAGTGTTGAGGCGGGAGTTGGAAGCACTGTCGCAGCTTGAGCTGACACTGGGGCTGGAGGTGGAGTTTGAGCTGAGACTTTAGTTTCTAACTGGACTGGGACTGAAGCTGAGGCTGGCACTAGAGCTGCAGAAGCTACACAGAAGTCCTGACCAGCAGCAGTAGTTTCTCCCCAGAGRGGAGGCTGACCAGCAGGCAACACAGAAGGGACTTTTTCCAAAAGCTGAACATCTCTCAGATTCCCATGGGGAGCAATCACCTACAAAAGAACCAAAAAGAAATTGCCCATCAGTCTGACTGTCTTGCTCTGAATCTCCAAAGGCATGCCATGCATGCATTACACCAACAGACACCTAGGCTGGGTACAAATTCAGGGGCTGCATCCTTCGAAGGCTGAATCTGAAGGCTGATTACATCACAACAATACACCAAAGGCTGTCCAAATTCAAAGTCTACTCCAATTGCGGCCCACAATGCATCCTGATTTGAGGAACGAGTTCAGTGTATCCTCAACACACCCTATCCCAAGATGCACTGCAGGCCGACCGYAAGATTTAAATAAAAATCTGGCACTGGTACAGAAATTCAAGTTTAAAGCGTTTGTTTTGTTATGCTTTGTTATTTGCATAGYCATGTTTTTAACTTGTATGGCAGATCCCTCAGTTATTCATGTGTTACATCTAAGATATTTTGTAAAGTTATAATACCAGTAATATTAATATATTAACATTTTGCTAATTTTGATCTTCATTGCCTCTGTTTAGCGCCATCATGATTGCTAAGAGACAGGACATATGCCGGGGTAAGGGCGGGAATAAAGCTGAAGGCTTGACCATCCAAATTCACAGCTACTTTCTTCCGGTCTTGGCAGTCAAAAAGGACCCAACCTACGTTGAACAGTAGGCTGGGTCCTTTTAAAGATGCAGTCCCTGAATTTGGACACARCCATTGCCACCTTAGTGTAACAGATTTCTCAAGATCGAACCATTTCAGTGAGAACTGAATCCGATATTCACCTGGACAGGCTGCTCAGTCAGTTCCTGCTCAGGATGTGGGGCAGGAAATGGGGTGGGTTGTACCTGGGAGAGAGGTAAAGTATGGGTGAAATGGAAGCTACTGAAGTGTGGCTGAGATGTGGGGGGGCCACTCTGCTGCTGTGACACCACAGGGGACTTGGCCAGTCCAAGAAGTGGAACAGCAAGCGCCAAACTGGGCACATGTTGAGGTGTAGATAGAGGGGTCTGAGGGGTGCCAAGAGTAGGTACAGATGAAAGGGCTGCATGAGGAGTGAGAGGAAGGGAGGGGAGGAGAGTTGAAGGTGAGTAGTAGGAGCTAGGTATCGGAGTGTCGCTGCTGCTGTAGGCAGACGGCAGAGAAGCTGGGGAAAAGGTAGGGGGCACYTGAACAATGGAATATGATGAGGAAAACTGGGAAAGAAAAGGGGGAAAATGAAATAAAATGAACAACGACAGCAACTCGATTCGTATTACACACAGGACCTGTGCGAATGTTGTATGAATCTWTGGAATTCCATTTGTGCCAAAAATATGTTGRTGAGCCTTAGTCCATGTTTTTAAACTTATTTTTGGCACAAATGGAACTCCATATATTACTGCAACCCTGCGCATTTTACAAGCTGTTCAACTCCAGCGGCATATTTTGTCTATTCTTGTMTTTCTAATTTTACCACAACACACCTGTGTGCTGATCTGCAGAGGCAGAAGGGGCGGGGCAGCGCTGCAAAATGGAAAACTGGAGGAGGGATCAGGAGGACTCAGGTGTGACGCTGGCTGGTCAGCAGATAACAGAAAGAAGATCAAATCAAACCTTTTGAATTGGAAATGCAGATTAAGTTTTGAGGTTCAAAAAGACCTTCTTAACTTGTCTWTAATTTACATTTTTTTTAAATTTATTACTACTTTTGTCCAAGCCCAAGCCATTTCATGGTAAAAAGACTTTGTGTCTGAAATGTCAAAATGTAAATTTTTAAAATCTGAATAGATTTATTCTATAGTTGGAGGTGCTTCACTATGACTGAGGTAAGCTGCTGGGCAAGCAGACTTACAGTAAGTGTGTGTGTTTTGTACTGTGCTGCTCTACCTGGGATGGGGCGGCAGCTGGTTGGAGATGACACTGAAGGGAAAAGAGACAAATGGGAAGGAATTACAAACAACATAAATAGACTTTTTCCATATACAGTATAAACACACATACAGAGCACGTGTACTAAACAACAGAACAGTACACATTCACAGCAAAAAAGAAATGCAAACTTTTGTATCCATCTTCCTAACACAACAAACATGTTCTTAATTATCCTGATGCATCTCAGTAATCCAGGTAAAAAAATCAAAGGAAAAAAAATTGTATAGGTCCTCTGGATGGGTTCTTCTTTAATGAAACGTTTCGTCTCTCTTCCAAGAGACTTCTTCAGTCTGAGAGTTTCAGGCAAAATTCAGGCTTTTATGTCCTGCCTCCAGGTGACTGATACTCACATCACATGGCCATCATGTGATGTGCCATGTGATGTGAGTATCAGTCACCTGTGAACGATGGCCATGTGATGTGAGTATGAGTCACCTGTGAACGATGGTCATGTGATGTGAGTATCAGTCACCTGGAGGCAGGACATAAAAGCCTGAATTTTGCCTGAAACTCTCAGACTGAAGAAGTCTCTTGGAAGAGAGACGAAACGTTTCATTAAAGAAGAACCCGTCCAGAGGACCTATACAATTTTTTTTTTCCTTTGATTTTTTACCTGGATTACTGAGATGTATCAGGACATACATACATACATACATACATACATACATACATACATACATACATACATACATACATACATACA